AGTGATTATGTCCGTTCGGTGCCTTATCAATCGGTGGGGCAGGCACCCTTCCCCCAACCCCAACCCCAACCCCAAACCCAAACCCAACCCCAACCCCAACCCCAAACCCAAACCCAACCCCAAACCCAAACCCAACCCCAACCCCAACCCCGAGCGAAATGCTCAGGATACAAACCAATAATATCTCTAACTCTCTCAACACAACTAACTTAGGTAATAAGGCCGATGATAAAGCATATAATTTAGGAATTAAAAACTATTTGTTTGTTAGAAACTTATATATAATTTTTATTTAAAATTTAAATGATTAGATTACTAGGAACCATTCTATGCGGAAACAATTGCAAAATCTATTATAATATTCCTACTAATTAATCATTAAATAATATCACTACTGTATAAAATTAAAATCCTATAGATTCAATCTTCTGAAAATAAAATTTAATCATAATTTAGAGCTTGGTGATTTTAAAATTAATCTCTATTACTTTGAGAAATGCGTAGAAAATATTTTACAAAGAATGTATTTTCAACCAACAAAATTAATTCAACCTTTGATTAGTAAGGAACACATTTTTTAATCCTCATAACTTGATAAATATTTTTGGAAGTTGGTCAATATGTTATCATTAATATCTAAATTAAACACTTTGATTAGGTGGTTCAAAATTCGTCAACATAACTTAACTGGTATTTGCTTAAGTTAGTGCTAAGAGGATAGCAAGAATAAAATATCAGATAAAACCTTAATAAAATCTCAATATTATTATAGTTTAGGAATTATATTTAGATTGAACTCAGCCCTTGTATGGAAGATAGATATAAAGGTAAATAATAAATGAGAAGTAAATGTAATTTTAAAAAATTCTGTCGTAAAATTCAGTTTACGAAACTTTTTTAGATCCTTTTTATATTGTGTGGATCCATTTTGTGTTTTAAGCAATTTAGATGTAAATTTAAAGTTAATAAGCTCAAGAATAAAGCACATTTTTTAAATAAATAAAGTTGTGCTCATTATTGGAGAATTTACTAAATCGATCAAGAAAAGTGACTTCAGGCTTTACGCCTTTGTGTGATGAATCAAATTCAAAAGTACAACTTAGTGTCGCTAGAAATGTATTCTAAGAATTCATCAGAGATGAATCTATTTTTAAATGACCATCCATGAAGAAATAACAAACAATAACAAGAAAATGCAAATTTTTTTTAAACTGTTGATTATTATTTTGCCTTTACATTTTTGACAAGAAAGAAAGTAAAAAGTTTCCCTTACTTATAGAATTGATCTTAAATTATTATAAAAATTGCATTCTTTTTCTTTTTAACAGCCTTAATTCAAAAAAATAGATTATAGAAATTTATTTACATAAATATGTCAAGTCAAACAAATTATAATTCATAAATCTCGCATTCATTTATTTATGGGCTGTTTTATCCACATAAATATGGATCATCATTTCCATTCTTATATTGATCAAATTCATATGCTCTTCCGAATCTAGAATAACCATTCGTAAAATCCCCATTTATTAAAAGATCGAAGTCACATCCAAATAAAGGTCCCCAAATTTGTATTACAATGAATAGCATATGATTTATATTCCTACATCAAAGGATAAATTAAATTATAAATTTATGAAAACATAAAAGATGAAATTGTATTATCTTCTCCATATTATCCAGCATCACATAATTTCCATACGCAAGGAGAGTAAGCTCCGAAGATATAATTGCTTTTGGATTTAAATACCATCAGTAAGTTCCCTTTACCATTCACTTTATTCTAAATTATTTACAATTCAATCCATCCCTTGAACCTTAATAAATTAAAACAGACTATTTGATGAGTGTTTTAGTCTTCTCTTATACAGTATTAAATATTTTGATCCAGTTATCAACTTTAAGTAGATTTGGTTTTATTAATAGTTAAAAAATTTATATTCTCTCATCTAATTCTTTTTAAGTTTAATTAATTAAAATATCCTTTTAGCATATTATTTGATCTAGTTCTTAATTTTATTGTAACTTTTTA